TTTTAACCATCTTACGACATTTTCTGTATGGTTACTCATCACAGCAGCGTAAGCCTATTATACCCCCAACGAGAAATACTTCAAAACACAAAGAAAGTACTTTATGAATCTGCACTGGGTAGCCCTGGAATAATGCAGAACATTCAGGAATCTAATGACATTTTCTTTAGACCTTAGCATTGTAATGTAAAGTAATTTATGGAGAACTAAGCATGTTCATAAAACGACACGTGCAACTCTTTGTTTAGGGAAACCCACAATCCAAAGAGAAAGATTAAAAATCCTTATGTAATTATCATAAAATATCTGTGCAACAACTCTAATTCTCTGAATTTATCTTGGATGCTCTGCCATTTCTATTTACAATACCCATGCGACTGAGCCTCCTGTCTCAGGAATAACAGCACTCACCATCAGCTCAGCATCCAGAAGGTTGTGAAGCTGCAGTTGCTGATACACTTTCAGGCGGTATGCTTCCATTTGTTGTTTTTTCTTTTTAGCAAGATCATAATCCTCTTTCTCTACAGCATAGCGTTTCTCTACTTCATACCGTCCAAGTCGTTCCCCTACCTAGAAAACATTTTAACAAGTTAGCTTGGAATCACATTATTGCGTACACATAGACATAGTATTTCCAACCAAATTATTAAATCAAATTGTCTGAATTTACAATTATTATTTTTACAACATACTGGAAGTAATTACAATACCACATTAAGCTAGGGCTCCTGATGGATCACTGGAGAACCATGTGACTTCAGAGATAAACAGTCTTTAACAATACCTTCTGCAAGTCTGCAATTGCTTGTTTGAGTTTCTTAGCATAATCGTAGCGTTCATGATGGACAGCTTCACGCTTTTTCTCATCTAGTCTACGTATTATCTGAGCAACTTCTGGATCCTGGTACATATCAAAAGCCAAATCATCCAGAGGCGAAATGAAATCAGATTTCCTGAAGATATAAAATGAAAAAAATAAATCCGAATTGACCTATCAGAGAGTATGTTTTCTGTTTTCACTAGCAGGAAACCAACAAAATACAGAGACTGAACACTAATTCAGACCAAGAAGTTTCGGCAGGGTATATACAAAAGAATATCTTTACCCGAGGTATGTTCCATCTAAGGCAGGATCATCTGATTTACTTCCTAAGTAGTGGTCTATCAGCTTTTCTCTGGAAGGCTTTGTGGGGAAAGAAATAAATCTTAATACATACTCATCAACAACATGTATGTTCAGGACAGAAATTCTGACTTACAACAACCAATGTAAGCTATGCACCTCATCCTACTTCTGTGTTGGGTCATATTGAAATATGAGAATTTTAAGAGGCTGAAAATGCAAATGTTCCAATTATCTTTTTTTTTTTGCACCCACAAGTTAGGCTCAATTCTTGAGATTTTTCTGGCTTCAAAGTAAGATAAAAATCAATACAGGGCAGCTCTGCTGAAGCATGAAACTACCAGAAGAAAAATGCATTCATTATCTCAGAAACCCTGCAACTGAACATGTGTAGCAACAGTAAAAAGACAGGGATGCTTTGCACTTACATTATTATTGCTGTCATTACTGTAGTCTGCTGGATCTCCAATGATATTTATAGCAACTAGGGCAACCTGGGATAGATTTAAAGAAAATGGAAATGCAAAAGGTCATTAACTTTTCCTCATCTTACAAAAAATTGAAATGGCATGCTTAAATACACAAGCACAATTAGTCACTAGATAGTTTGTGCTGATATTCCTTCAGAAGTGTCATCATCTGAAAATTATCAAGTAGTGATTTATTTAGATTCATATCACCTCTCCTTTTTCCTTTTTTTTACTTTAATATAGGAAAACATGTAATGTCAATATTGTCTACAAAATTAATCTGAAAACAACTATTTGGTAAAACACCTTTGGATGTTAACAGTTATTGTTTGTCCACTTGATTGCTGAAAGTTAAAAACAAGATCTGCTTTGAGATTGTTTTGTTTACTTGTTTTGTGAAAAAACACAGACCATGTTTCTGTTGTCAAACATGCCCGTTTTATTTTATATGAAGATACCCAAATATTCTTCATATCAACACATGTATTGTGTGTCACTCTTCACCTTACATGAATTTGACATCTATGAATTGGTAACAACATTTTTCCTAAGCAGACGTACTTTCACTTGAAAAATACCTTAAGCAGTGGAAATGTTTTAGCCACCATTTTAGCTCAGTTGGGACTGTTGTGTAAGATCTTCTGCAAAATCTTCTTATAGTGTTGCAAACAAACAAATTAGGACCTGTCATCTCCAGGGTAGTATGCTTGCAAAGCACTAACTGAAGTGCTAAATGCACTTCAAGCTTCATTAAAAATTTATTACCAAATCTGTAGATCACATCGTACAGTCATCAGTTGTTCCCTTTCCTTGTCTGGGATGGAAGTGAATAGTCACTACAGAATTAAGAGGCCAATATTCACTTTTTCTGTATTTGGATGGCTGTACAACACCTTTGCTTAATGCCACATAAGACCCTAAAGACTAAGAGTGGGTATGAAGTGACCACAAAACCTGTACTGAGAGGAAGTGCTTTGTCTTCAGCACAGAACCTGCTTTGCATGCTAAAACTCAAAATAAAAGAGAACCATACAACATGCACTTGACTCGTTTGTTCTAGATAAGTTGCATGCATCTGATCACGAACAAAAATAAACTGAGGAGATTTCAAACAGCATTTTCAGCTTCTGAAATTAAGGGAGCAGATTTCTATGTCAGCTCTGTGCTACTGAAACCTCATCTAGCTTACAAAATAAGGGCTAACTCAACTTACCTGACTGTACAAGTTGTATTTATTGACATAATTTTTATGGAAAATCAGCTTCAGGTACTGGCCAACTGCATCCATATAAACAGATTTTAACTCTCGTGCTTTGAAACCAGTCTTTTCATTGTCTGAGAGAGGGACATAACTGAGAAGGAAAATGTAGCAAGTAAGCAAAGCAAATGTACATAAAAGGAGATGTGCATAAATAAAGAGAGAGAGCTCTAAAGCTAAAGTGTTTCAGAAAAAGCTCCATTAAAGACAAAAGGCAACTTGTGTGATTTGAACACCTGGAGTAAAATTCTATTCCCAATTATACCTGAGCCTCCTATTTAGCCTCCAGCCCCAAGGAAGTATGGTATGCTTTGGTGTATCAATGTTGCATGCAATACATTGCGAGTATTATTTCCTTCTGAGGCCTTTCTGATTAAGGTAATACAACAGTTTAGAGCTTTTTGACTTACCCTAGTCTGTGAAACCTCTCTGACTGATAAGGAGCAAAGTATTCAGGTAAGCTTTCACTGATGTAGAACTCGATTTTGCTTGAAATCATGTATTGGTGGGCAAGCAACTGCAGTTTCCGTATTCGGCATCTTTCCACCAACTGCAGAACAATTTCCTGGGGATACTGACAGAGTCTGAAAGCACACACAATTTTGAGTCATCTTTTTAAAGGAGGACTTCACTTTCAACTTGAATAACATTTAATTATGAAACTTTCCAAAGTTTATTGTCATTACATATACTGTAAAAACAAAGAGTTCCAAAGAGTTGAAACAATTTTTCTCTTCTCTTTATTGCATGCATATGTTAAAGTGCCCCATGTGCCTCACGAAGATGTGCTGAGAAGACTATACTTTTAATGCTAAGCCAAAGCAAATTCTAAGATGACTGACAAGAACAAAAATAGCTCCCTTTTTTTTCTTTTAAAGGTCTCTTTTAAATGTAATGCTATCTTCAGGTGGTAACCAAGGCTTTTTTTCTTTTTTTTTTAACCCCAGGATAAGGATCGTATGGGGTTAAAGTAACTTAAAGATTTTTCAGTTCTATAATGGATTTGGATGTGGTAAACTGCTCTGAACATGCATGCTATGCCTCCCATGCGTTTTAAACTCAGTGCCTTAGAACAACGCACGTTCCTCTCCCTGGTCGTACCTTGGTGATCGCCAGCCGTTCACTGTTGGCGCGTGAACCATCAGCTCTTTTGCGCTGAAGCCATCTTCGTGTCCTGATGAGCTAACGACTATAAAACCGATCTTGTGTGGCATCCTGCAGAAGTGAGCTAGACAAAACAAGGATGTTTTAAACTTAAGCTAGATCCCTAGAAGGGCAATAAAGGAACACTGAAATACTACAGGCTAGAAATTCAACCTCATGGTCCATCAAATCAGCAGCTGATGACCATAAATCTAGTTTTTCTTTAATACTAGCACAATAAAGCACACTAGGTATATTCTTATGCTGAGTGGTTTACTAGTAGTGTTTGGTTAACTTGTGCAGCAATTTGACTATAAACTCAATTAAACCTATTAGTCCAAGACAGAGCTTGAAACTACTTGCTCTGACGTGCCCAGGAGCAACCCTTTGGTCTTCAGGGCAGCCTGAGGTGCACGGTGAGCAGCCAGACGTACGGTGTGCGTGTGAACCAAGATGAAAATAATAATGAAATAACGATAATAGAAAGAAAGAAAATGAATTCAGCCAAAAGCTGCCCGATACTGCTTCACAACTGTGCATGCGTCCAGGCCGCTGACAGGGATAGCAGCAGAAGGAAGGTCCTGAGGGGCAGGACAGGCTCCTGGCGGGCAGGACAGACCCCACCGACCCCCAGGCCCTTGCCGACATGAAGTAATTAATTAAGCAATTATTAAGATTATTAACAACTCCCTTCCTCCCTCCTCCGCGCCCCCAGCCGGCCTGGTGGGAGGGGGGGGCGCACAGCGTCCCGCAGGCCTCTGCCACAGCGGCTCGGGAGGGAGCCTGGCCGGGCCGTGGGCAGCCCCAGCCCCACACAGAGACCCTGTAGGGTCCCGGGCAGGACCCCTCAGCCATTCCCAACCCGGCCGCCCCCCTCCATGCCCCGTCCCCCTCAGCCGGGCCGGGCCGGGCCCGTCCCCTCACCTCAGCGCGGCCCCGCGGCCGGGCCGCCCGTCGCCTTGGCAACGCCTCTCCCCCCCCTCCCTCCCCGCTTCCCCCCGTGGCGCATGCGCACAGCGGCGGCGGGAGCGCGGGCGGGAAGGCGGCAGGAAAATGGCGGCTGAGGCGCCGCTGAGGGGGTTCCGCCTGAGGCGGGCGGGCAGCGCGCAGAAATTCGGGGTGGCGGCCGGCAGCCTGCGAGGGCTGCTGAGGAAAGGCTGCCGCCTGCTGCAGGTGCCGGCCGGGTAGCCGGGGTGAGGGTCCCCGGGTTGCCGGCATCCCCCTGACCCGCCCGCGGGGCAGGTTCCGTTGGCAGGCAGCCGGCTGTGCCTGTACGAGGACGGCACGGAGCTGAGCGAGGGCTTCTTCCGCACGCTGCCGCCGCAGACGGAGCTGGTGCTGCTGGGCGCCGGGGAGAGCTGGCAGGGCTGTGAGTGGGCCGGGGGAGGTGCTCGGGGGGCGCTGGGGATGCGCCGTCCCTGAGGCGTCGGGGCTGGGTTGGGTGAGGAGCTGGGCAACGCGATCAAAGGATCAGACAGCTTGGAAGAGACCTCCGAGGTCACCCAGTCCAACCTCTGACCTAACACTAACCAGTGCTCCACTGAACCCTATCACCAAGCTCTACATCTAAAAGGCTTTTAAAGAGCTCCCTGGAGGTATTTAACCTCCACCGCTTCCCAGGGCAGCCCATCCCCATGCCTAACCCTTTCCATAAAGAACTTCCTAATGCGGTTGTGGCATCCCTGCCCACGGCAGGGGTTTGGATCTGGTGATCCTTGAGGTCCCTTCCAGCCCAAATCACGCTGTGAATCTATGAAGAGCCCACACCAGCATCTCCCTGAGCCGTCCCTGCTTTGTCGCCCACAGGTGTCAGCGACGTGGAGCGGCTCCTGGCTGCCTTCCACAGCCAGCAGGATGCTGTCGTCAAGGCCGCCCAGAAGCTGCTCTCTGACGAGCAAGCGCCCAGGAGGCAGAAGCTGCTGGCAGACCTCATCCACAACCTCCAGGAGAACATCGCGGCAGAGGACAGGCAGGAGGACAGCAAATGGTTCGAAGGTAGGTGCCTCAGGCTGGACCCAACTCCCCTGGGTTTGGTGTTCATCAGTAGTAACAGAAAGATTTTAAAGTTTTTTTAAAGTATGTACATATTTCTGTATCAGGAGAGGGTTTTAAAAAACCCTCCCTATTGCTTTATCCAGTACAGTTTTAAAATACAGGTAACTTTTCCCCCCACTGACATTTCATAGAGCACATTTACATTCATCTAACGACTTGCTGATAACATGTTGATAATTTGCACACATCAGCCAGCCAACCTTTAGACTTTGTGAGTTTACCCTCCGGTTTCCAGGTCATTGGCACAGGTCTTTCAGTCATCTTCTCACAGTCTGAGTGTTCCATGTGTGCACGTTAATGAAAAACATTTAACAACTAAAACATCAGCTACTGTTCTCGAAACAGATGGTCCTTTTAAGTCATGACAGCAGGATAGCCTTGAACCAGTAAAATAAATATGGAAAGGAAAAAATACCCATGCATACTGATTTTGTGAAAAGAAGGGATAAATACCCAGCTAAGCAGATGCAGAGAACTAAAAGCATTGCACTAAGTTACAGCTCTCTTATCTAACTCTCTCTAGGCCTAGAGTCTCGTTTTAAGAACAAATCAAGCTACATGCGGTACAGTTGTGAAAGCAGAATACGAAGCTACATGAAAGAGGTAAAAGTTTCTGTTGTGGTAACTTATTTTCAACTTGCTAATAACAGTAATTCTGTGACTACGTATACATTAAATGATTTATAGTCCAACACAGTGGTTGTAAAAGAATCTCAGACTGCTATAAGAACTAAATTGTTTTTATTTTTATTTTTTTTAGGTTAATAATTTTATTTCAAATGTTCATCCTACAGCAAGGGATGCATATAAAAGGATAATAGACCTGATGTCGGATAAACTGAAATCTGCAAAATATAATGGCTGCTACTTTGACAGGAGAGAGGAGGAAGCAGTCCGCCTGTGCACTACGGAGGGATGGTTCTCCTGTCAGGTACGTTCAGCCCTGTTTAAAGCAGAGTCTCAGTGTGTGGCTTGCAGTGACAACATTAGATGTTAGGGGAAGGAGATGGTTATTTGGATGTTTGCGTAGAGAAGCAGGAGGTTTGGCAGGGTGGTGTTATCACAGCATGCATGATATGTCTCTGGTCACAGCAAATGGAAGCTGTGACAGTCCTGGGCTCGGACTGAGCTGGCACGATGAACACTTCGCCTTTCATTGTAACTACTTTGTTTTACAGGGACCTTTTGACAGAGATGACTGCCCGTGTAAGCATTCCATCAATCCCTACAGCAACAAGGAAAGCAGAATCCTCTTCAGTACCTGGAATCTTGATCACATGTAGGTATAATGCGTCTATACGTGTCTCTGGTGAAAACCATCAGACCTGTTTTCAGGCATTGTGCACTTGTGAAGCAAATAGGATTTGCTAAACTAATTTCTTCATGGAAAAGTAAACAACAAACCTAGTTATGGTGAAAGAATTCAACATCTACCTTGCCCTAAAAGGAAGAAATATCATGAGACAGTTTTGCTGGCAATGTTGCTTTCTCTTTTGCATTTTACAGAATAGAGAAGAAACGTACTGTTGTCCCAGAACTGGCAGAAGCTGTCAAAACACGAGATGGAAGAGAAGTGAACTGGGAATACTTCTATCAGCTACTGTTTACCATAGATAATCTAAAACTTGTACATATTGCTTGCCATAAGAAAACAGGTCATAATCTCAGCTGTGACAAGACTAAAATTTACAGAAAAAGGAAGCAAACCCACGAGATTTCATAGTGCTATCTCTGAAAGTGACTTGTTTTTTACAAAATCATGTGAGATGGTGGCATTTTTAAATAGCTCATTTCTTAAAAACTTACTTAGCAAGTCTCTCCTGGCAAGGACTTCTTCCTTTATCACCACCAGTGCCTTAATTCAATTGCAATCTCAGAAAGCATACGTTCAGATCATGCCTGATTCTCCCACCTTCTCACTTACTACCAGCCTTCCTCAAACAACAGTGTGGTAGTGTGACTCATAACTGTGTTGTGTAAAAGTGAGGCTAGGGGCTGACACTGATTATACCTTATGATCTCTTTCTCAGTATGATAAGTGTAGGCCTAAAACTTACAGTAAACAGAAACTTACACAAAATACTTCTTAAAAACTGAGTAGACTATTTTTATGAACATTATGCCAAACAAAGAGTACTTGAAGGTGATTATTTTCCGTTGTGCCTTTTCCAGGTAGACAACCTGTGTCATTTCAGAGGTGCTAAGTGATTCATTGGCAGAGCTGCTGCCTCTTCTGTTGCAAAATAGCTGCACTCATCCATGACCCTTCCATTTACTGTTGCATAGCTGCAGATCCTCTAGACGGAATCGCAAGGCTCTGGTACATCTTTGCATCTGCCACCTTTCTTCTTTATTATCTCTCTCCCTGATTTTCTTCTCACTAGTCTTTACCTCTTTAGCTTGAGCTTGCTTGAAGTAGCGCATGCAGTTTTATTACGTAACAATCATGTTTGCTGCCTTCAAAAATGTTGCTTCCATAAAACACTCCCTACCTCTCAGGTAACAAAATCCAAATAGATCATTTTCTATTTTTAAATACCAGCTGATAACAACTGAACATTCAGGGCCCGTCAATGGAAACAACATGAGTATTTTTTAAATAAAAAAAAATCACTGCCATCTTTGTGTGTGTGTGTGTGTGTGCAGGTAGAGGTGCATGAGTAGTTAATAACTACATGACCAATGCAGCCTAGAAAGATTTTGCATGGGGGAAGGTGCTTATGAATAAAGCAGTAGATACTTTGTGCTGTGTAAATGACATACTTCACTTACCTCTGTGGAAGAGCTCTTTTAATTTCTCTTCTTATCAGTGGTTCTGTTACTTCTTCAGGTAAATTCAGCTAGTCTAGACAGAATTGTATTAAGACAGTAGTGCTGTGTGAGCCAGAGCTTACATTTCTAGGTCTTGGAAATGCAGTTTTGCTACAGACAGCATTAATCTACTTCAAGTACAAAATGTGATCCCCTTCCCAAACATTTCAACATGAAATCTAAGTAGGTGCATTTTCAATACAGGATTTCCAGTACCAATGTATTGAATTGATCCCGATCACCTTACTGAATATACACAAACTAACAGGTGAAAACACACTGTACTGTTTTGACTTCGGTGAAGTAACCGCAGCAAGGATTCTGAAACAACGTCATGTAAAACACCATTTTGCACTGTGTGAAACTAAAATGAGTGTCTGCGTGTAAAGACATTGGCTAGAAAAAAGGCAACAGATATGGCATTTAAGGAAAGCTGGGAAAACTTCAAGATGGAGTAGTGCTGAAAACCGTGAATAAACTATTAAAATATTAAGATTTTTCTGTGTTACAGAATTAGAGTAAAAATGAGCCAAGAACTATCGTTGACAGAAACAATGCATCAACTGGAGTGGGAATGTGAATAAATTAGCATGTCATGCATATACAATTTGTTTGGCTTTTGATTTTTGAATGTTTAACATGCTATAGCTGTAGAAATTAATATTTATTTAAACCATCTGCTGACTATATTTTCTCTATATTTTTAGAAATAGTTTCTTCTACATTTATAACAATATCTGGAAGCCTATTGCATAATCACACTTTCAAAGTATTATCATAAACATTGGATGAGTTAGCAATTCCTGAAATCATCTGAGGCTGCTCACTATTTTTAAAAATGCAGGCCAGAAATACATTTGGAGGACTGACCTATATCTCCTTAGTGATCAATATTCATCGGTCTATTGAAGTCCTGCACCAAGAGGACTTAATTCTTCCTTTATCACCATCGATGCATTTGTTTACAAAAATTTCACAACCCTTGGAAGTGAACTGAAAATACAGCACAAGCTGCATTACAAAACTGTTAAAAAGAGCAACTCTTAAAGCTGATCTGATGGAAGAGGGTAGCAGTCAGCTTCATTCCATGTGGTGGCTGTTCAGAGAACTGAGGAGCAATACAAAGTTACCTAACATCCAGAAATTAAAACCGCTGAACTCCTGTTGGCATACGTGCATTGAGTTTTGCCAGCAGAACTGCATTTTAAAGGTTCAGTCATATTTTTAGATGAAAACAATGCAATGCAACAAAAGCGTCCCTCTTAGGACTGTGCTATCAGCTGGTTGCTTTACTAGCTATAATGGCAGACATCACAGAATTAAAAGAAAAAGGACTGTGTTCTAAGATAATTTTTAGAAAGGAGGGAGAATAGACCAAATGTTCCCTGTAAATATGAACTCTAGTTTATAACAAAATAATAAAAACTTGTGCTTTACATGCTTTATTATAAGTAATAGTGATAAAATGATAAATTACAATTTATTTTCAATTCACTGAAAATTCAAACTCTGCCCCAGAAAATTGTGGGAGAACACTGCATCTGGCAGTTCTAGGGAAACTATACCCGTTCTCTGTTTTAAGAAAAGGCAAACACTGACAAATCACGCTAGTGATACAGCCAACCACCATTACACCATCAGAAAGTAAAAAGGCTTTTGTTTTACAGTTTCTTGCTAGAGCACATCCTCTTCCTCCTCCTCATCTTCCTTTGCAATGAAGTGTAGCCTTCTGAATTCCCGCCTGCTCATTGTTGTGCTTGGGAGTGCAACTGCTGGCTGATCCTTTAAGGAAAAGATAAAATCATTACGTCAAGTTGCTGCAAATAGCAGACCTCCCACATCTCCAGCAGTTCCCATTCTTCCACACCAATACACGAGGCATTAACACACACCTCTTCACTTGGAAGTGGTGGCATCCAATTAAACCCTTAGCTAAAGCAGAAGGGCTTGGAGGGGAGCCTGTCTGAATCAGCCAAGGCTCACGGTCAAAGTGAGGGCTGGCATTCCTTCTGCAGTCTTGAAAAGGATTCAGAGAGGGTTAAGCACTCTACAGACGAATCCTTACTACTCCCACTAAACTATAAGTTGTCTCCCACTAAACACCAATCCTCATTAAACACCTGAAAGATGAAAGCATCATTTGTCCAAAGGCAAATAATGTTAAATGCAGACCTGAGATTCAAATTTTAAATTTTGGTCCCTGAGCATTCCGAAAGCAGAGGTGGCCATAAACCAATTTCCATCCCAAAGAATTAAAATATTCCTGGCTAAGAAGCAGAGACCAATGAAAAACTGTTTTGAAAGGATAACACTGTTCTACCGTAATATAGCTATGTATATTTTTGTGAGTAAAAAGGCTACCTTAGAGAACTGGAATAATAAAATCTAACCAAGAAGGATTTTGCGTCTGAAATAAATTTGGCTTGTCTCTGACAGAGACAAATCATTCCATTTGGTGGATGGGGATATTTCTCCATCCGACTACCAACACTGGTCACGCTTGCCAACAATTTTGAGACTAGCCTAATATTGAAACAGAACAGAACAGAGTCTATAAAAAGTGAACAGGCTTTCACCATCTTACCTGTATAAAGTCAATGTTTCCAAAGAACCTGTCCACTGGCATTGGCTGGTTACTGTCTTCATCCAAGAAAGCACTGTTATCTAGTTCCGTCAGTTTCTTTGGGACATCTCCATCCTTCAAGCTAGACTTATCTGAAAGTACAGTCTCACAGCCCTCCTCTTCACTGCTGACATGACTTTGCAGATTTTCATTGCTTTCTGTTTTTGAAGGAGCACTACTTGATTTCTCTGCAAATGGCTTCAAAGAATCTTTATGTTCCTTTTCCTGTCTCTCTTCACCAGTCTCTGGAATGCTTTCATCTTTTTTCTGTTGAGTTGTATTACAGTCTCCTGAATCTTCTGAATGTGAATCCTCAGCAGATGTTTTCAGTGCTGCTTTCCTCACCGCAAGGTTCCCAGTCCCACATGTACGACCTTCTAGTTCTGATTTTACTAGACTGTTTTTTTCACATTTTAGCTTCTTTGAGGGTTGTCTGTCAGCTGCTTTGCGTGAAGAAGACTGTTAGAAGAAAAATCAGATCGTGAAGCTATTTAAAAAAAACTAACTAAATAAATAAATCACCAAATCTCATTAGTGGCAAGGCTAGATGTGAAACTGAATGGCTTCATAAGGTGAGCAGCCAGTGTTTGTCAAGGAACTGCAGCCTGATTCTAACCCGCAACGCTAAACAAAATAATTACTAGAAAATGCATGCAAAAAAGAGGCGCAGATAGGTTATGCTAGACCACAATGTGTAGCTCATCACCAACAGAAATCTTCTCAAAAGATAAACTAGTGCAGGACATGGCTAATCACCATATTCAGGTTTTCTTAAGGATGCTATAGATCATAATTAGCGTAACAGAACGAACTACCATCTGCTGGCAGAGCCTGCTGGTAGGGTAACACCACACTGCACAGACTCCTTCCACAGTACTTCAAACAATTAATTATGAATCCAAAAATTAACTCTGTAGCACACAGCCCCACTCAGGCTCTGCATTTTTGCACACACGCTTAATAAAAGGTGGGAAAGGTGGAGCACTCACGTAAGCCCTGTGGGTAAACCCAACAGAGCATCACTCAGCTGACAGCTGTTTATAATTAGTCTCCCTGCAGTTCCTAGCACAGATTTTAAGTCTTTTGGAAGCCATGGGTCCCAGAGCAGCCGCGTACACCTCACTGTACACTCACACAGCCAGCACCACGCACGGCAGTGATGGCAGGGAAGCAGCTGATATTTCCTTGCAATTAGCAACTTGCACGGGGCACTGAGGGGCTATTTCACTAAACATTAATCGCACGGAACTGCCCGAACAGTTGCAACCCATGAAACCACATGGAAAATTAAACTATTTTACAAAGCGCAAGACAAACTACATCTGTAGGGACTGCTCGCCAGCCGGGGTCCACACCACCGAACGCCACCAGTAGGGCCGAGGGCTCCCCGGGAGGCACGGACAGCACCCGGAGGCCGCCCCGGAGGCTCCCCCCGGGGCCCCGGGCCCGCAGCGCCCCTCACCTGGCGGCTCCTCCCGCGGCCGGCCCCACGCGAGGCCCCGGCTCCGACCCGCCGCGCCAGGCCGCCCGCCGCCATCTTGGGGGGGGAGGGCGGGAAGCTCCGGCCGCCATTTTGGGGCCGGGCCTTGGCCTCGGGCGGCCCTCGCTGAGGAGGGGCGAGGGGAGGCCTCGGCCCCCGGGGCGGGGAGAGGGGGGCTCCGGCCCGGCCGTTGGGGGCACCACACAAGACAACGCAGATCCTCGGCTTTGCCCCTCCGGGCAGACGTGGTGTTAAAACCGGCCGTTGGCAAGCCAAAACCGAGGAGCCGGCGCCCCTGCTCCTCCCCGGTGTGCCTGCTGCCTGTGAAAAACAGCGAGCTGTGCCCGCTGGCTGTGTGGGGTATAAACATTGCAGGTCTGCCACTTGCCGCTGTCTTGCATCTGGAGCAGCACTAGCTTCGGTTTTAAGATGTGCGGTTGGGGACTTATTATTCAGATATGCCTCTCGGTTCGCTTCCGCAGCCCTCGGGGAACGAATTATGTTAGAAACTCAAATCCCTCTTTAACTTCAAGGACTCTGACGATAGCAGATGAATTTCTGTGTAGCAAAGCAGCGAGACACCTAGATTTAAGTATGTAATTATCTTCGCTCATTTTACAGGGGGAGGTGAGGTAGGAGGCTCACCCGCTGCAGGGAATCGGGGGTCCAACACTGCAGGTTGCGGTGAGGGGACAGCAGGGTCCTCCTGGACTTTTTTTTTTTTTTTTAATAGCAAACCTTTAACATTCTCACTCGTTTCAGAGCCATGCCACAATTCTCTAAGGTTTGAGGATGTCCCCTTTGCTCCTCAATCCAAGTCAGCAGACAAAACTCTTGTCCCTGCAACCTGCCCTTAAAAAACATGAGCAACAGTTTGAATCTCAGAAATGTGGCAACAATGTACCTCTGAGAATATTCAGGTAAGGCATTTTTTCTCAAAACCAGAATGTCTCCCAGTTAAACTGCCAAGGGTCAGAAACATTCCTGGTATGTTGTTTTGCAATTTCACTTAGTGCTCAGGGGTCTTCTGCGCTTTGTTCTGCGGCTGAGATAATTCATATTCTCCTCCAAAAGCATCAAGTCTTGCTCCACTCTCTCACAGTGTTGTTGCTTGCAGCCAAAGAATACAGATGATTGTTTTTATTATACAGTGAAAACTTATATTGTCTCGTAAACAGAAGAGGACTGGAGCTGGCTGCAGAACAGAATTTTTGTTGCTGGAAAACTTGGTTGCTGTTTTAATTCCCCCCATGAACTGAAAATACTAAGAAAAAAAAGAATTTTGAGGATTTTAATAAATTCTTTCCATAACACTTTGCATTTCTCATTCTTTATGCTGCTTGGTAAAGTTGACATGCATATCAGAGTGACAAGGTGGCTCAGCCCTCTGCAGCCTGGCAGGCTTCGGTAGCCCAGCACGGCCACGGCCACACAGCAGTCAGGGCTAACCCTTGCACCTCTGCCTGGATACGGATCCAGTCTTCTATTCTCCTTTCAGAATTCTTATCTCTGACTGCCAAATAACACGTGCCAAAAATAGATCACCGAGATGCTTTATACAAGGGATGTTCTTCCCCTCTTTCTTTCTGGGTGCCAGGCTCACCAGGGAGTGAGGGGATGCAGCACCTTACACACACAAATCCAGAATGCCAGGGCTTTTGGCAGAGCTCTTGTATTCTGGTCACTGCGTTCTCTCTCCAACAATAACCTTACTTCATGAGAAAATGATGGCAATTTCACAACTGCAGATGTTGCATTTTCTGAAATACAGCTGATCCCTCTCTGAGAAAACATCCATCGCATAGTGCAGAGAGCATCCCAGGAGAGGCAGCAAGAATGGAGACCCCCTCCAAGATCAGTCCACATCTCCGCAGCAGTCAGTGTCTCCTGAGTGACTTGAAAGACTGCGGAGAGACTGCTAGCAGCCAAGAAGCCCTTAAAGAGAATCAGAGCAGCACAAACTATTTACATTAAATTCACATTTCCACATAAAAGATGACTTAGTCTCAACAATATTATAAAGTGCTTTTTATTAGAATCTGTTGTCTAAGCAAGCAGGCAGGAAAAAAAAAAAAAGAAAAAAAAAGGAGATTTTGTGATCTCCCTCAGTTTTATGAAAGCTGGCTGGCGGGTACAAAGCAGCAGCTGATGAGCTTATTGTGCAGGAAGGGAGGGTCAGGCTGTGAAACTCGATGTGTAAATTAGCTTCTTGCAGCACTTGTCTCTGTGCCTGTCACTTCCACCAGTGTCCCTGTCTGTTATAATCCTCCAAGTTCATTTGGTTAAACATTAGTGACATGCCGGGGACAGCAGCCAAAAATAATGTTGCCTGTAAACACGACGGCTGTGAACTGTTGAATGAGAGATCTATCAAACCAGCCAAGCATCCAGCAGGAGCGCGGACTGGTCTTTTCCTGCTCTGGAAAAGTTATTTTTAGCTCAGGTGTCCGCATCCTTCTTCATTAGCAGCACCTGGGGAAAAAGCTGAATGAGGTTCCCCCACCTCGTAGCTGGGATGGGGGGAGCTGGGCTGCAGCATCCTCCTGCTCCCAACACCTCCTCACAGTGCCAGCCCCGGCGGGATGAATTGGTCGAGCTGGGATTTGGAGACTCAGCCCTTCCACCACCCTTCCTGCCAGTTGCGCAGCCACGATGTTGTCATGCCAACTCAGGTAATGACTGCATATTGAGCTGCTGATTTTGGGCTGCCAGAGCCGCTGTCTCCTGGAAGAATTGCTGATGAGTTGACAGAACTAGCTGGAACTGAAACATTCAGGCGAGTCTGCAGCCCTCTGACACCGGCTGCCCAGGGCAGTGCTATCTGGAGCGCCTTCGCACCACTCAAACCCAACTAAAACCTTCATATTAACTGCCAAGGAACGTTCACACCCTGAACTAGGGAGCCCAGACAGAGCAACAACAGGGAACTGATGACATGCAATTAAATTTTGTGCTTGCCAGATGAAAAACCTCTATTTGAGCCTTATTTTGGATTTCTTTCTAATATCTTTTCAAGAGCCAAATGCAGAATGCTAGAATCTGAAGAAATTAATACAACTGAGCAGAGTACTTTGGCTTTGCATGAAAGAGCAGCAAAGAAAAGTTATGAAATTCATTACTTTAATGAAAAACCTTAAGGGGTAGCTGGGAATCCAGAGAAGGAGCATGCAGCGGGACAGCTGTGGTGCTGGGCTGGCAGAGGAGCTGCACCACGCCGCCCTCCCTGCCACCCCTACAGCCACAGGTGCCAGATCCCAAGCAGAGCTGGCAATAAGATCCTCCCAGATTCTGGTGCAAATACCTGGTTTTTGTTACTGTCTCTCATGGTTTTGTGGCAGACCCCTCCCAAGGCACTCAGCAAACACCAGCCGATTCAGGGCACCCGATCTGCCCGAGGCGTCCTCCCCTTCCAGAGGCTTTAACTGCTTTAAGCAGTGTTGATTTTTTAAAAGCGTTTCACAAAACCCAAGGAAATCTCTCCCAGCACAAAGCATCCCACTGAGACCGAATCATTACCATTGCTGCAGGAACCTGCCTGATTACGAGGGCTGTGGCAACCCGGAGCTGCTGCTCCACAGCCCCACAGCAGCTTACAGAGGGTTTTTTCCTGACTCCATCTAACAGCAGCCGTGCAAAAAGGCGTTCTCTTTCCAACCCTATTTATTTATTATTGTTATTTTTTGCAGGAAGGTTGGTGCTGCCGTCCCGTTAGGAGCTGGGGGAGGCTGCTGCAGACACTGGGGGTCACTGTGACACCGGAGATGCAGCTCGGCTGTGGGAAAAGCAGCTCCCGGCCACGGCCACGGCCAGGCACAGGGCAGCTGCCCTCATCCTGCAAGGCGGGGAGGCTCTGGGAGACCTCCTGGCTTTCCCTCTGCCCTTTCTGAGCTTCCCTCTCCGCACCCCGCAGGGCAGCAGGCAGCCCGAGCACAGCGTTAAAACGGGGCTGGGAGCGTTACTGGGAGCGTTACTGGGAGCAGCTCAACCCCAAATGGGGCTGGGAGGTGGCGAGGAGCAGCCCTGGTGCCCGCTGCTCCCAGCTGGGATCGGAGCAGCCTCACCATCTCCCCCAGCCCCTCGCTGCCCGCAGGTACCCGGCCGGCTGTCGGTGGGAGCAATCCCCCTGTGCTCAGCCCAAAACACAGCCCCGAGGTGCTCCCAGCATCATTTCTTTGCTTAGTCACCGCCGCACTGCTTTATTAGGTGGAAGGAGGTGAAGGCAGCTCCCACACAAACCTGCGGATGGTGCAGGGGTGGCACAGCTCGGTCTCGCCTCCCCTCCTGATAGCATCAGAGTCATTCAGGTTGGAAAAGTCCTCTAAGATCATCCAGTCCAACCCTAACTACCAAATCCTCCGGGCGTGCCTGTGGCAGCTTTCCCCACACTCATCCCAGTGCACGGCCACCCCAAAAAGCATCCATGGAGGGATGAGTGTGCAGAGCCAGCCCCGAATCCCGAGCAGAAACCTCCCCTGCGAGCCCACCCTGCTCAGAAAGTGCTGCCCGAGCTGCCAGGGCAGCAGCCACAAAGCAGGAACCCTCCTCTTCCTCCACCCCAAGCACCCAACTCGCCGAGCCCGACATTGGTTCTCTACCAGTGACAGGCAGCGTTTTGGTAAACGCTCTGCATTATTTAACACCGTTTCTTTGGGGAGATTAAAAGTGCTCCGAGTAAACATACCTCTCTTCCACGCACACCTGACAATGACAGAAGAGGCTGTTTTACAGAAGGCTCATTAAAAATAAAAACACTGTGTTGATTTCGGCAGCTTAAATTACTTAAGCCACTGTAATGGGATAAATATTTGATGGTGAAGTTTATTAAATTTCCACCGATATTATGTTGCTGCTAAAAATATAAAGGGTTTTTAAAGCCTGCTCGGCGTCTCCGAAGGGAGATGGTTGGAAACCTGCCTCAAAATCTGCCTGCAGGGACCACTTTTGGGATGCAAACATATTATCTTCTTCCCTCTGTCGTCCGCAGGTACCAGCGAGTGCTCTCTGCTCCGACCAGAATTTGTCAAGTCCCTGCTAGCCACGCGGCAGGAGCACGGGGCAGCCTGCAGCTGCTGGAAAAGCGTGTCGCTGTGTGATCCTGCTGGGCACTGCTCTGCTCAAAGGTGTCCCCAGGTCCAGGACAGCCCCAGCAGCAGCGCAGGGAAGCAAGGAGCCTGCTGTGGGCAGGGGGCGAGGGGCGGCCACCCCCAACTGAGCATTTGTGGGGTTTGGAGCCTGCCTCTCAGCACACGCAGGCTCTCGGGACCACGTTCATCACCCCCCAGCACAGGGAAATCTAAAGAGCCCGGACATGGAAGGCTGCCAGGATATTTCACATTCTGATTTTACAACATTTTACCTGATCTTAACATGAGCACGTCCTTTTGAACCCAGCTGGAGACGAGCCTTGCCTTTTAGCTGAGCGATGCCCACGTCTCCACAAAGCCCCATCCCGAGGCGATGCTCTGGGAACCCACAGCACATCTCCTGCCAGGGTGCTGGCACATTGAACGGCCCCGAGTCTATAGACATTTCTATTTGCCTTTGAAATGATTGCTGTGCAGAGATATACTCTGTCTCTGCCATGGAATTAACTCCTGTTCCTTTTGTCACTTGTGATAATTCAATACACGAAGTTATAAAACCTTAACAGTTTCATTCCTGGCTCTCAGGAATCACCAGTTGCTGGGCAGATGAGTGGTGTCCCTGAGGACAGAGCAGGTCCGAGCAGAAGTGCTGGGCCAGGGCTTATCAGAGGAAAAAAACTATCAGTATTTCCATTGAGAGACATCTTTTTTTTTCCCTGGTATCTTACAGGAGTGGCAGTTTAAGCTACTTGGGGAATATTGCTACAGTTCAATAGCTTCCCAAATTAAAAAAGGATAATTACAGCTGAAACACCCTAGAGAGGGACCAGGGAATGGGCCACCAAGGCCAGTCTCTTGCCAAGTCTCACCGATTCCTTGCAGAAAAGGAGCAAGCTTCATCCACAAAGCACTTAGAGGTTTTTTTTTTCCCCCTCCAGTACTGATACCAGAGATTTCACGTTAAAAGCTGCCTCCGCACCTCAGAAAAGACCTTCTACCAATGGGGCTCCTCAGACAGCATCCGTCTCAAAAGAGCAGGGAAAAACAATCAGAGGAGACATGTTCCGTTCATGCAACAGCAAGCAATATTGTTCCATGGGCAAGATTCACGCTAAGACAACTGCTGCGGTGCCCTCGAGCGCAGCACGCTCATGCATCCATTCCAACGGGGGACTTGAGTGCAGCAGGAGCGATCCGGTTATCAGCCCGACACGGCTCCAGTAATGAAGCCAGGCCCTCATTACAACCTGTTTAAATATTTTCTACATGGCAAGCACGCCGCCACCACCCTCATTAGGTGGGTCTCTGAGGTTTTCTTTGGGAGCAGCTCTCCAGGAGCAGCTCCGCTCTGTGCCATCACAGCACACACATCACCTCCTGCCTCGTGAGGGCTGTGCCTCGCCACCTTCACACTGTAAGGAGGAGAGTGCAAGAACCCAGACCCTGCCCTGGGTGCACTGCATCCCTCCCTGGGAGATCGTGGTGGTTGGCCTCAGCCAAAATACCCATCCCTCGGGTGCCCCCCAGGCAGCCAGCAGCAGCGCCGGCACGCTGTGACGTCCTTCTGACAACTGGGTTGGATGTGAGGATGCCTGAATAGGAAACCACCCATGAGCAGAGGAATAACACCACATATTCCGTGCTGTCATTTCGACTAGAAAGCAAAGCCGGCAGCTCTCTATCTTTAGGGAATTAGAGGCTGTTTGGACAAAAGTTTCCCCACGGGTAGCACGCTTGCGGGAACAAAGCCGTAGGGTTCACAGCGCAAACAAGTTTCCTACAGCCCGCGTGATCAAAAGGCAGCACCGAAGCGGTGTGTAAACCAGGTTAGGCAGGAAAGATTAAACAATAATCAGGCTGCAAAGAAATGCCTTCTGATATCGGGTTCTGAGAGAATTTAAACAAGCGGCAGCTCCATCATTTCCAGAGACGTCCCTGCAGACAACAGCGGTGTTTAAGGAGAAGCTGTGAGATCCCTGGGGCTGTAATTCTGCCATCCTGCTTGCCAGGGGAAGGAACCAAGTCACCAGGCAGGGCCCTGCGAGGCAGCTCGGCTCACCAGTGCCACCCCAGCTCTTTCTGTGTGGTTGCTGAAGCTCGTTGTCACTTTATGTCCTGCAGAGGAGCACCCACAACACGACCAGGGACTCCTGCTGCCATGCTTAACTCAGCACATTTCGACATCCAAAGTTTTTTCAGGGTGGATGTGGGCATTAAAAGCAGCAAATGGCAAGGCTGCACCAGCATCCCAGTTCTGACCAGTTTGGAGCATCCCGTGCTGCTCCATGCTGTGGAGCCTGGTCCTCACACCCCACACCCGTGTGGGGCTGATCCTCCCCATCGAGGACTTCTCGCTGCAGACATCAGACGCCCCTCGTTGTCCTGGCCAGCCCTCAGCGAATTGCTGCCTTCTCCTCCTTCCCACGAAGCTCTCCAGAGGCAAGCATCACTGGCCAATGAGCCCAAATGCACATTAGCAGCTCTTCCAGCCCCTGGACCTTGTCGCTCCCCAGGGAACATGTTTTTACCTCTGCTCGATGTTTCTGCTGCGTGGCTGGGGCCAAGCTCCGTGCGCTCGATGTGCCGCTTCCCCAGCACTTGACCCGCAGCTGTGCTCTGCCTGCACATCTCTCCCCGCATCATGCCTTGGGTCATGCTCCTTGGTAGGAAACATGCGAATCCTTCAGTTTTGCCTCTACGCTTAGCAGTCGGGGAAGGAAAATCCCCTGAAGAATTGCCTAGGTTGCATCTCCGGGAAGCAGAAACGTACAGGTGTGCACTTCCATAAATATTTCAGGACGGGGTTTGTTAGATTCCACTGACGTGGCAGCTGCAGCAGTACAGATGCTGAGGCTGTGGAAGGAGGCAGCCCCCATTCCACCAGGAACACTTGGAAAGGGAACACGCTGGGCAGAGCGGGGCCGCCTCCTCCCACACGGATAGCAGCTCAGGAGGAAGAGAGGGGCCGCCAGCCTCCCGCCAAAGCAATTTTTCCTCCTGTAGCCTAATCCTCCTCCTTCCCCCCGACATGCAGTTTATTTAATTGCAGAGCCAGGATGCATTTCTTTCTTGAGGGATTGTGGGAGAATATTTGTAATCCAGGGGCTGTAATTGAACTCGGTAATAATAATTATACTTCTCTTCATTAATGTGTCTTAAAGCTCATTACAAACTATTCTTGTGCCAGCATCTTTGCCAAATCCCTGCAGGGTTGGAGATAACTTTTTATTCCACCACAGTAGCAACTTTAAAGAGTGTTCCTGCAGTTGGAGGGTAACAGCCACACCACAAACCCAATTTTAGGGGTGGGGGAGCCAAGCCCCAGGCAGCACAGGGAATTGCCCGAGTGTCCCAGGTGGCTGCAGGCTGCCCCAGGAGCAGTGAGCAGCAACGCTGCTTCCCTGAACACCATGCTTGGGCTCGTCCATGCAGGGGTCCTGCTGGAGACACCCCGCGTTTGGGGATTTTCTGGCTGGCTGAAGCGAGCCCTGAGATGCAAAGCGCTGCTGGGACACAGCCAGGTCCCCACGTACAGCGTGCAGACAGCAGGCACACGCCTCTGCTGTTACATACCCCGAAGAAAGAGGATGCTTTTCAGTACAAGAATGTCTATGCCAGATCGCAGGTCTGCAATTAAGATGAAAAATTCAGACTTGTTTTACTTAGACGGGAGATACCAGGGAGGCAGCACATTAGGATATGTTCCAAACTCACAAATCCCATTAACGCTGAAGTGAGGTCCCCATGCAAATCCCTGTGTGCAGAGAGGAAAACACGCCTCAGATTTAAGGTAATTTTAAGCCCCTCTCAGATACAGGGATGCTGCTCTTTCAATATTTAAGCTCAGTCTGTGAAACAACACAAGTTATCTAACATTCATTATCCCGTTTGTGCCAGCATCTTTGCCGAGTCCCCAGTGCATTGGGGAGAACCATTTTCTTGCTACGGCAACAGCACTGAGGTGTGCTGCTGCAATTACAGGGGAATATAAATTTATAGCTCTCCTGAAATCACAGCCCTCCTGTTGCAGCAGCCCACTGGCTATGTGCTAAATCTGCCCAGACAGTGGCACAGCCAGACAATGACAGCCTGTGGAGATGTTCCCAAATAGACCAGGTGCCTCCGAGTTTTCTTTCGGATAAAATGAACTCCTCTTTCACCATCTCCCCAGCTCATATCAATTTCAAGAGAAAAAGATATGAAAAAGGAGCAGAGCGAGCGACAGCAGCCACAATAGGCTCTCTCTGAGACGATTCTTCCAGGTATATATGCACTCGCTCTAGGTCTGCAAGTGTTTGTCATAGAAGTTCAATTAATTTTCCCCAACCAACCCTCACTGCCTTTCCTCAGAAACTCTCCCGTTGAGCTTGGAGCAGTCCCCGGGCCCTGCCAGCACGCTGCACGCTCCCGGTCGCAGGAACAAGGCAAGCCCCGAGCTGCACCAGGTGCAGTTTGCAGGGGCAGAAGAGAAGCAGATGAAAGTGTGCTTAAAATGATGAAGCCAGGAGGTTTTACGGGCAGGCACAGATGTCTGGAAAATCCTTTCTGTGTTTTGGAGCAGAGCAAAGCACAAGACGTGTCCACGGGTATCCCGGCTGCCAGGGACTGTCCCCTCCTCTCCATCCCTGAGACCTGTGGCTGCACAACCTTCAGCCACAAGAGCTTCAGGGAGCCCCAAAGCACGCCAGGAATATCAGAGAGCCCCTGCAGCACAGTCAGCTGAAGACAAGAGCGTGCACAAAGACAAAGCAACAACCTGGAGATCATTTCTGCCTGTCTGCTGCTGCGGAGAGTGGCAGGGAGCAGCGCCAGCCTGTGCATGAGCCCAGCAGCTGGGGCCGGGCAGGCACAGCACTACCGAGCTGGGGCCCATCGGTGCTTTCTGAGGGGGTGCTGAGGAGCTGAAGGAGCACACTCCTGCCCTTGCTGGAGCCTCATCTCCTCCGGGTGAAACACAAGCAAGCCATCACCTGAGGGACACTCGCACGCTGTCCCCTCCCCTGTCCTGGTGCTGGTGGCAAAGGACCAGAGGATCTGGTTCTCCAGGGACATTGCCCACAGCCCACCCCTCCCCAAAGCAGCCTGCTCTTCAGGGATCTCTGCCTTTCTGATTTAGCCTGAATTGTATCCACCTGAAATGATTTCACTGCTTGAATCTCAGTTCTAGCCTCCAGAGACTAATTACCTGCTTCCTGCATTTGCATCATTACATTCAAGTCCGTTTAAGGGATATGCAATTTCTGGAAGGGGAACTGAAACTGATAGGTGAAAATCTTCTAAGCAGCAAATGGCTCAGAAGGAAGAAGCGAGAGCGTGCGTGTGGTGAGCGTGGCCGTTCTGAGATGGGTTTGGCCCATCCCTCCTGAACGGAGCTGCAGGCACTGCACATAACCAGGGCCCAACTGGGTGTTGGTACACAGAGAATGTGGGTGAAACCCCTGCAGGCTTTCTGACAGGCTTTTAAATACCAAAAGCAAAGAGAAAATCTTGACAAGCTGCAGGATCACATGCCAAAAACTTCTGCCCTCGGCTTGCCTTGGGACCCCGCGAGCCATCACCCAGCCTGGACCAGGAGCTGCAGTCAACTGGTGGGGCCCTCATGCTCCAGTCACCCTAATGGCACTTTGGAAATGCCAATGGAAGTGAGTTTATGATATTTGACGTAAATAAGCAACGTGGCAGTCCCCTTCTGGGTTGGCCTGCCAGGGAAACTCACTGGAGGGATATTAACACCGAAATATATGAGCATGTTCGCATGGAACATTTATTGTTTAACTCCGGGCTCCAGTAATGGCGTGTATAAATTATTAATTTTGGGATGGAGATGAAATGCCTAAAACCCCACCCACCCACCCAGGGAATGCTTTTACTGCTACCAGAGCTCCAGGCTCGGTGCGCTTGGAGCCCTGCGCCACGAGCCCGGCTGCCCAGAGCCCCATGCAGGGCGTTTGTGTGAGCCAGAGCTGCTTGGATCCTCAGGGCCAGGCGTAAAAATTGCCCCCCACATTTTGGGAACCCTCTGCAGCACCAGGTGGATGGGGCAAGAGCACGCATGGCCCCAGGCATCCACCCACTGCCCTGCAGGACACCGGCTGCACAGCGCTGGCATGGCCCATACCAGCACACTAAAAGAATGCCTGGCAGTTACCATGGCAACCTTTTTTTTTTTTTTTAAACCCTGCTGTTAAGCAGTTGTGTCAGCCCTCTGCGAGCATCATCACGAGCATCATCGAGGGGCCGCAGTGCCCCCGAGGTGGCTGCAGCACCCCCGCACCCTGCCTGGCCACGTCCTGGAGCGGTGAGGAGAGGTGTCCCCTTCTGCTGGGGATGGGGAGGCACAGGGAGCCTCCAAGAACCAAACCGAGGTGATGGAGCATCCCCCAGCAGGTCGTGATCACTGCCTCCCCCCCAGACTCACCTCCAAACCACCCCACAGGCAGCAGTCCCGTCCTTCCAGCCCCACAGCACCATCCGCTCTCATCCTCCAGGCTGGGGAAAGCAGCTCTCCAAGCCCTGCTCCCACCTGCAGCCTTTTGTAACCTTGCTCCTGAGGGTAATTAGGGAATCCTGGTGCCTCTTTAACCCTCTCCTGCCCCCTGGTTCTGTCCTGGGACACCCAGCCCTGTGGGCACGCAGAGCTCTGGGGCTGCACCAGCAGCAGGGCTTGAGCAGGAGCAGCGCGGCGCTGCAGCCACAGCCACCCCTTACAACCACTGTAACTTCTCCTTACAAACTGCAACTCTTTTATTGGCAACTGTGTCCTTCCAGCAGTGTTTTATGGGCCATAAGAAAGGCTAAGTGGAAGTTTCCCTTTTTGTCTTTCTATTTTTTTATTTTATTTTATTTTATTTTGACTGGCAGCACGAGGCAAACAGCTCCGTGTGGCCTGGAGCAGGAGCCGTGGTGGCAGCCCCCTGCTGTGGGTGCCCCCGGCGGGAGGCAGCAGCACCAGGGCAGCATGGTGGGTGCGTGCACCAGCCCGTGCCTGGCTCAGCTCCTTCAGGTGGGGAATTATCTCACTGCGGAGAACGCTAATGAGAGTTTTGTATGGGAGAAACGGCGAGGTGAAGCTACCTATCACAATACTGAGCAACGAAATTAGGAGGGTAATAATTATCCGTGCATGAGATTCCAAGCAGAGGAATTATCCCAGGAGCTGTGTGACTAACTGCCTGGGGTTCCCGCAGCTGCCTCCCACCCCCGGGTTGTTTCCACACAGCAGCTCGGGGTGGCTCCATCCCCCCGAGGCTGCCGGCTCCTGTCCGGCACCTGCAGCCGGGCACGTTGCAGGCAAATCACAGCACGCAAATGTGTGGGATCCAAGGAAATCAATGGCATTAAAAATTAAATCTGGAATCATCCTGAGAGTGAGAAAACACTTGCTAATATTTTGTTTGCACGGGCAGATACCGGAGCTGAGGGCAGAGCGAGGTGGTGCCAGCCCGTCCTGGCGGGTGTCGCAGCCGGAGGAGCCTCCCCTCGCCCTGCACAAAATGCAGCTGGGGGGCATGTGCCTGTGAAGTGACACCAGCCTCCTCCCCGAGCTTACCTTCAAAGCCTGCACCCATGGGGGAAGGCTGATGGGGGCACCTGCGGCTGCCACTGCCACCTCTGCCCGGTGTCCACCAGTGGGGTCTGCCTGGGCAGGGAAAGGGGCTCGGGGCTGGGTCATCCCAAGCATCCCAAGCGCACCGCTGCTGGATGGGGTACGTGCGTGTGCCCAGCACAGCCTCGCCGAGAGTCAGCTCCGCAGAAGCCAAACAATGAGGAAAGTGTCAATAAACATATATTTTTTACAGTCCATTATCTTACCCTTGCCAGCTTTTCGGCTGTTATTGCACCAAGCCATTAAATCCCCTCCACGAGCACCACGCGCTGTTTGTAATGGGACCGCTAATGCCTCCCCCCCGCTGCCAAGCGCTTCGGGAGAGGCATTAATACCAGCGTCCGCAGAAACAATCCCTTTGTTCCAGGTTATTTGCACTTAATGCCACGACATCGCCGAAATCCCTCCTAAAATTAGCATGGATGATTTTTAAAAAACATAATAAAACATTAATTAATATTCTCTGTGACGAATGCATGAATAGAAGCAGGGCATTACAGCTAGCTGTAGGCTCCTTCGGGGGCAGAAGGGCGCACAGTTTCTTGACAACAGTCATCAGAGGACACGGGTAATTAGTAGCCCGGTGGCCAGCTCACGTCACAGCCAGCTGGCCCTAAGAGCAGAGGACACATTGCTGCTGAAGGACCAGCAGCACAGCCTGCGTTCACTGCTGTTTCCACCACTTGACCTTCCGGAGCCTATTTAAAAAAAAAAATAATTAAGTGACATTTCCAGTTCAATAATGTTTCGCGCTATTAGCGGCAGGATCTAAGATGCAGAATTAGGATAATGAAGAGCAATAAGCAGCGTGCACAGCCTCGTGACACCAGCAGCCTCCCACCCCGTCGTGGCCCAGCCTCGCAGCTGCCCCTTTCCCTGCCGAACCATCTCACCATTTACCCTTACACGGTTCCCTGTGGTCGCTCTGCTTTTGAAGCATGATTAGAAGGGGGGCGAGGGTCCCGGCTGCAGGGCACACACAGGAGCAGGTCAGGAGCACGGCACCCTGAGGCCCCCAGCCCCTGCTGCGGGACCCTGCAGCCCAGCGCGGCACTCGTGGCCTCGGCACTTTGTGCTCATGTTTTATTTCTCCTGAGCAAGATTCCTTAACTAACATTTCTCTCCAAGCAGCCCGGGCAGAGGAACTAAGAATTCATGGTGCCATGGTCCAGCTTCGCCTTTCAGTTTTACCCCATTTCAGCCACAGCCTGGCTGCTGCATTGCCCTGTGCCAAACCCAGCAGCAGGCTGAGGGAGGGGATGCGCCCCCAGGAGCCTCCCATCTCCTCCCCAAGGCTCTCTTTGTGGCATTCGGCCGTGTCCACAGCCGTCTGAGGCCGGCAAAGCCATCTGGCTCAACACCCTGCTGCATGGGCTGCATGTCAAACAGGGCGCGGGGCTCCAACGCTCATCCCCTAATGTGTTGTTGAGGCCTGATTATTAGGCAGCAGAGCTCAGGCGTGCTGGAATTTGCAAATTTGTACGTACATGCCGCCAGTGTTTGTTAAAGAGCTCTCGAACAATTGACAAGAATTTGGGAAAGATGCTGCTGCCTTTCTCCTGTGGCATCCTGAGGACGCTGCAAACAAATCGTCTCGCCGCAGACAATGCCCTTGATGCATAATAGCAGAGCCGTCTCCAAACAATTGGGGGTTGATTTTTATTTTGGCTTTAACTCAGCTTTCCCAGCGCAGGTGTCCAATTTGCTCCTGCCTGTGTAAACCCCACCATGTGAATAGCTCAGCTGTAGGCACGGATCATACCAGGAGATATTTCCTGGTCGGGTCTGCACCTCGCGGAGGTGGAAGCTCCTCGCCTGTGAACCAGGCAGCTGGGAAGTGTGCAGGGCCTGCAGGAAATTCATCAAGGAGTCAGCACACGGGGCTAAAGCAGCCTAAAGTGACCCTGGATGGTGCCTCTGCAGCCTCACGGCAGGGCGATAAACCTGCCATTCACCCTTTTTATTTCGGGGGAGGCCAAGACACGCCTTGTTTTATGATAGACAAAAACCAAGGGCAACCTCCCTGGCACAACTACTCAGGAAATTATTAGGTGAAAGGGTTGCACCCAGCCTGCCCACACCCGCGAGCACTTTGCTTCCAGAGCCGCTGTTGGTGTTGGGGTGTCTGTGCTCTGCAGCTCTCACACGGGTTGTAATCCTCACCCTGCTCTTAGCTCTGTGCAAACCGTGGCTACAAGTTGGAGAAACATCACAAAATATCGAAATGCTCTTTTTTTTTTTTTTTTTTTTTTTCTGGGTGGTCTCTGCCGCTCCACCTTAGATCCTTTTGCAGAGGACATGGAGCCGTGCAGGACACTGCTCAGCCCCACGCCGCTCGCAGCCCCAGCAGGGAAGGCGAGGAGGATTTCCCATTGCTGAGGCTGAGGAGCAGTCTGCATTGTGTAAAGTAATTAAAGAAAGCTATCGGTCTTCCCTGTGAAGTGGCTGGCGCTAGCTGTTTCATTATGGCTTTCACACTTTAGAATATGACCCAGACAACGCTTACACCATTGTAAGGTTTCACTTCAAGGGTCTTAAGAGGAAATCAATTATTTTCAGAAATATAAATATTTTACAAAGCCGCTTCTCTTTCTAATGATGGGATAAAGGCAAACACGGCCATTTTGCTCTTCAGCGGTAGAAAGCAATGCAGCGATCCAGCCTCAAAGCCTGCAGCACTTCACCTGAGTCATCTTCTCGAGGCAAAGGATCCTGAGATACAGAATTTTCTGCTAAATTATGCACACTGGAGTTGGCCATGCTCCACCACCAGCCCTTGGTTTTCTTCGAGGGGTGTTTTTTATAATCCCATCCACCTGTTTGCTCCCTGATGCTCACAGGAGACAGGGAGGAGCACCAGGCAGCGAGCTGCTGCCCAAGACCAGGGGATGTTGGCTCCAGATGGGCTTTTGTATTCAGGACAGAAGGCAAAATGTGGCAGAGATGGACAAAGCACGGAGCTGGGGCACGCTTCAAAGAGCCCGTCACAGCTGTGTGTGTGTGATTAAACCTCATGGCCCTGGTGCCCGGCAGGACAGGCACTGGGGGCAGCTTTTCCCCCTCAGCCTGGGGCCCAAGAGCAGCTGAGGAACGCCGGCATTTAGATTTTTGTATTATTATTGTTTGTATCAAATGAGCGAATTCCCCAGCGCTTTGGTTTGCTCTTACATAATTTAGACCAATCAGTGCACTTCCTAATGCAACATGCTCTTAACTTTGCTGAGCCCTAAGGCACCAAATTTATATTCTGTTCTGCCGCTGTGAAAATGAGTGGTGTAACGGTGACAGGAGGAAGAAGGGGCTTTAAGGAGGGAGAGGCAGCAGAAGGGGAAGAAAGATAGTTGAAAGCAGCAGAAAGACAGGGAGAGGAGAAGATACAGAACAGCAAAGTGGTTTATAATGGAAGGACTGTAATTTATTTTGACACTAATCATGTATTATTCATTTGGAACAAAAATAAACCTTATTAACCAGGAAAAACAGATCTCCCATCTCCAGCCCACGTTGTGACGAGCGATTCGTGGTGCTGAGGATGCTGACAGCCGCTGGGCTGGCTCCGTGCCTCATCCTGCACCCGCCGGCCCCATCTCGCCTGGCGGAGCAGCACCCATGGGTGCCACGGGTAGGAGTGGTGACACGAGGAATTATTGTCCTTGGTCACTGAGGGGAAAGGTGGCCGGCTCTCAGGGAGGGCAGATGATGCACTTGCATCGCTTCCATCCCCAGCTGATGCCACCCATCTCCAGGGCTCACAAACCACTTACCAGGCTGTAATTAGCCAGGTCACCCTGTGCAGTGCTCAGGCACCGTGGAGATGGGCCAGTGGTCCCAGCACTTGGAGGGGCAGAGGAAAACCAGAGTGCCCCTGCAAAACCACAGCTGGCTGGAGAGGCCCAGAGCAGCCAGCATGGACACAGAACCAGACAGCTCCACT